AGCATGTGCGTTTCCAACCGGGAACTGCTGAGCCAACGGCCAATCCCAAGATTTATGTTTTGCGCGAGTAACGACTCTGGCCAAATGGGCCCTGCCTGAGTTTCCAGTACAGGGTTCTTCTTACATGTTCAACCACTGCAGTACTTCCTAGAGTTGTGCCCGTTAACGCACAACAATTTTAGGAAACGTACAGACCACTACAGAAGCGCCCAAATTCATCCGACTAGAAACGTTTCTACTCTTGATTTTTTCCACGACCCATACCTGGGCCAAGTACTGGGGGTTTAACCAAAACGGGTACAAATTCCTGACAGGTCAAGAGGTGCATTACGAATTATTCTAGTGGCATAAAATCCATAACGAATTGTTTTTTTGTTTTTTTTTTTACGGACCTTTCGATGATCAATCTCTCACAAAACACAAAGCAATCTAATATACTCTGGAAAAAGCAAAGGCCGTAGGCTCGCTAGCTAGAGAAAGAACAGATACCACCTTGCCCCAGTGTAACCAAACTCTGGCCCTACGTTGCGATTCGTACTCACCCCCGTACCAGTACAAGTGGTACTAGAATCTGCAGATGGTGCTCAGGCAAATGTTGCTTGTTTTGGGATGTTACATCACATGTATGTTTTTCGGATGTTTTGGATGACAGGTTCCAGTACGGGGGCGTACGGGGGCGTACAGGTTCCCGTACAGATATTATCTGTACGTTTCGTACGGAAAGGCCCCGTACGTGTACGTTCGGTAACGTAGCTCTGGCCAAATGGGCCCCGAGCTTAATAAAGGGTTCTTACATATTAACCAAAACGGGTACAATTTCCTGACAGCTCGAGACGTGTATGTCCACTTGCCATCCATACCTCTCCCTCTTTTGAGTGTGTGTGTGTGTGTGTGTGTGCAACATTTCTCTCACATCTCGTTTTGTCTCACACTCGTGCACACACGTGAGTGTTGCATGTGTGAGACAAGAGAGATGTGAAAGAAATGTTGCGAACACACGCACACGCACACACACACACACACACACACACACACCTGCGACACGTCAAAATCCCACCTCAGCACGTTCCCGTGCAGCTTTTCAGCAGTGGCCAAACAGGATAAGCTTTGTTCGGACTAAAAGAGCTTTTCCTGAATTTCAATCTCAGCAGTGACTATCAAATTGCCCCCGTCTTCACTCCTTTTGAAAACAAAAATTCCCCCTTTTCCCATTTCAACTCCTTTCGCTATCTTCCTTCCACTTTTCAGTCTCTTGGCTGAGGTCTCCTGGCCCGTTTGATTTGCGATCGTCTTCGTTTACGTTTCTGTCTGTCTTTTTTTCATTCCATTTTCATGTTGTCCTTTTCACGTCAATGTCTACAATTCTCAGTTTCCACAAAAAAAATTGATTTGTCACCGTTCAAGATTTGTCAATAAAATCAGCCTCGACACAAACGGACCTACTACCTCAGTTAGTACATCCACGCCGCCACCTCCTTTCCTTATTCTTTCCTTCTCCTCCTCCTCCCCTTCCTTTTTCTTCTACCTCCTCTCGCTGGCCCTTTGTCGTCTTTGCGCGACCCCTTCTTACCAATACCTTAGTTCGAATCCACATACAATCAGCCGCCGACCAGAATGGTCCAGATTACCTGAATCTTTCTTAAATACGAATCCAGATACTAGTCAGGTGACCAGAATGGTCCAGATTACCTGAATCATTCTTAAATACCTGAGCCCCGGTCCGTTCAGTAGTAATGACGTTTCAAAACGTTCGTCGCCCTTCGAACACAAAACAAAACAGAAAACAAAACAAAAAACAAAACAAAAAACAAAACAAAAGGCTTAAAGCCTCAAACAACTTTTATACACTGGTGTTAGTGGTGGCTGGCCCAGTCAGTACCACTAGCACTGCACGGACGTGTCCGTTAAAAAAAAAAAAAAAGAAGCTTTTGTACACTTCGTCTTCGGTATTTACCTCAGCTTACCATCGCACTTGTCATGGGCGGCCATGTCCTTTTCGTCTTCTCTACCGTGTTATTCGTCCGCATATTTTTTGGCTCGATTTATTCTTCATCTGCTCCTTCCCAATCCAGATTTTAGTGAGTGCGTGCATCACAGCGCTCTTTCACCCACTCCAAGTCTGAAGGATATACGCGATCACATAGCAAGAATCCACCACGTAATACGCGCGAGCGATCATTCTTCTCTTTCTTTGAGAGTTGGACTTGCAGTTAGTTGCACCCGCACAAAGAACACAAAAAGAAAACCTCGATGTCACCTGGAAACGACCTGACTTCAACTATCCATGTGATGGAGGTTTTCTTTCTGCGTTCTCTTTTTGTGTTAAACTGTCCTGGAAGCGACCTGACTTCAACTGTCCAGGACGCTCTACCGTCAGAAAAAAAAAAACAAAAAATACAGAAAACAACAGATCTTCAAATGTGCAGAACCATCAACAGATCTTCCATGATGTAGTCGGCCTCCAATTGCACGTGCAACTCCTGTTAATTTTAATATTGAAAAAAAAAAAAGAAACACCAATCCGAAGGGTTATCTCCAGCGGCCATGCCCTTTTAGCAGGAGCGGGGGGAAGGTGGAATGTTCCCCCTCTTTTTCTTTGGTAAAAAATGAAAAAAGGGCGACGGCGTTGAAACCACCAGTACTCTTCCCAAGGTCGTGCCCATTACCAAGCCACGACTAGGAAACGTACGGACCCCTCATGAGCGGTCCACATTCATCCGAATGGAAACGTTTTTCTACTTCATTTTTTTCCCACGACTGATATATGGGCCAAGTACTCGTGGACTCAGATGGTTGAACAAAACACTGACCAGCCAAATGAGCTAATTGGACCTTAACAATTTTTTATCAATCTGCTTTGGAGTGGCATTCGAACTGAGTTAGGCCACACTGAGGGGTCTATATTTCAAAAATTCAGGGGTGTACCAACTGACGTGTAAATGTTTCCGTTATTCAGGGGTGTACCAACAGAGCTAGCCCAGTGGGTTCCAGGGGTTTATAGATTACTTGTCAAGTACTTCTCAAGAAAAAACGTTTCGCGATGCAGCGTGTACAGTATTGTTCGACTTGTTGGGTAAATTATAGCTTGTCCAGATAGGGGTGGGCTAACCTATAGAGTGAAAGCTTCTATCCTCCACTCACAGTTCGTTAACCGCACGGCTTATGAGGGAGGGGCTGCCTGAAGATGCATAGCCTAAATTACGGACACGTGGCTGTGTTGTCCTACAGTCAGCATTTGCTTCTCATCACAGATGATGAACGCTCTCTAAACCGAAGCTCCGGATATGAACTGTCTGTATGACGATTTCAGATGAACGCTCTCTGAAGTGCAAACGACAGACAAGGGAAACGCCAAACTTCTCCCACAGAAAACTTGGTAGAATCATTCATTCATCACACGGTTGGGTTCGAGCGTATCCGAGAAAAAAGCTACCCGTAGATACTCCCGCACTCGGTCAAATTGTGGACGTAGATCGTTTCTCTATTCGAGACAATTCAAGGAGGATCACCGTGAGATACACAATGTCCAATCGCCAGGGATGCTTTTGACAGAGATGCTTAGGTCAGAGATGCCTAGGAGAGGGATGCTTAGGACAGAGCAGTGCTTAAATCACCAGTACTTGGTCAAGCTTTCGGCCGCGGAAAAAAAGACGAGTAGAAACGTTTCTAGTTGAATGAATTTGGGCGCTCCTGTAGTGGCCCGTACGTTTCCTAAAATCATGGCGCTTTAACGAACACGACTTTAGAGAGTACTGGTGGTTGAAGACAGGTCGGGACAATTTAAGGACACCTTCGTAAGATTAGCAATGTCTAATCGACAGGGGGAGCGATGCTTAGGACAGGGAAGATGCTTAAGATACCATCAGAACAGAGATTTAGAGAAACAAAAATTTCCGTAATCGAAATCGAGGCAGTCCGACACAGAACATGTCGAGGACCTAAAGTCACAAAGCTGAGGGACGATTCAGAGATGACAACAAGGGAATCAAGGTATGCCTGCACTGCAGGGATCCCCGAGGAATCTTCAGGACCAAGGAAGTTCTTTCGAACGAACCTTAATGTATTTTCTTGCGAGAACACTCGGTGGACTTCTCTTAAGACGCTGTCGGACGACCAACTGAATGGCAAAAGGAAGCATCCAAGCACACGGAACAAATCACCACATCGTCCTTAAAGCAACCAGTAGATGGCCCCAGCCAAATTAAATCTTACTGAGCATCTCCCAAAATTTCAGAGGCTCGCGCACCGTCGACAAAAATAATCGATGGAGGGCAGCTTCCGAAAGGGGGCGCCGGTCGATAGCTGGCACGCATTGGTGGTTAAAGATTTGCTTAAGCATGCCTTCGCATCGAGAATCCCTAACTCTTCGTCTTTATTTCCATCATCCTTCGAGACGAACTTTGCCTCATTTCAGATCAGATACACGCGTCATAATCTTGGCGGCTGAGGTACATCACAATCACCACAGAACTCTATCTTAGCGCATCAAAACTCTATCTTAGAGCATACGCACACTACCGTCTTCACCCCAATAGTACGCCTGGTCATTCTCTCCATGTCAACCATAAGTTGCCCCGAATCAGCTTAAAAGACCGGGCGTTCAATTCGGGTGAAGACGGTGGTACTTTCCCACCTAAGATCAGTCTATTTTCGATCTAATTGCGGTCAGATGCACCGAATTGCATTCAAGAAAAATGTACAATAAGTAGAACCTCCGTCTCCTGAAAAGGGGCCATAGTGGAGAATTTTCGCCCGCGCACGACGTCCGAGTGGCAGGGTACGGGTGGGGAAACTTGGACCATAGAAATAAAACCCCAGCGAGATCCAAAATCCATGAAACAAGCCCAGCCCGAGATCCAAAATCCCTGAAACAAGCCCAGCCACATGCACCTGGTCCCAAAATCCCTGAAACAAGCCCAGCCACATGCACCTGGTCCCAAAATCCCTGAAACAAGCCCAGCCACATGCACCTGGTCGTTCGAAGCATACACAGAGTAATTCGCAAACGGCTGTCTACGTCATTCACCCGCTGGGAAAAAGACTGTTTTTTCACTTGCGCAGCAGGAGTGCTTTTGCCACACAGAAATGAAAACTTGGAAAACGTGTTCCGAGGTGGCCCTCCCTCCCTCCTAGATACTAAGTGGATTACATCTGATTACTTGAAAACAAACAAGCATCATTTCCGTGGAGATTACATCTCATAGTAAACCGTTTTATATGCCAGTTTGGTAAACTACAAAACCCACTCCGTCCTCTAACAAAAGATCGTCTTCGCGAACAATGACATCATGCTCCTTCGTCGAATTCCTGATCCCGGATTCCTTTGCCCCACACTGGTACTCTGCACTTCGTCAGTAACGGACCTAGCTAAACCTCACACACCATCGATGTCTTAAGATTCAGAGTTGGAAACCTCTCGTCATAATTCTTACCCACCAATCACAGACATTGACATGCATTTACAGGAACGTCAACTCTCTCTCTCTCTCTCTCTCTCTCTCTCTCTCTGTAACACAAAAAAGACATTCAAGAGAAGCCCCACACAGACAGGCCGACACAGACGCAGGGACATTTTTCCTGTGGCACAAGAAGGAAGATATCAGAGTAGAGTATCAAGCAAACAAAATCGCCGCGAACGAATTAGTTAACGTTTCCGAGCAATGAAGTGATGTGTTTTACAATAATCAGTGCATGCAGGGAGCGAAGGTAAGCATTCACCCTCCCTCCTCGTCCAAGACCTCCGAAGCCCATCGCCCTCCTGATCGTCATTCCTGCCAGGTCTCTTTTTTTTGGCACACGACTGTGCCGCCGACAAGACAAGAGACAAGAGACGGCCCCCCAGCCTCATTTCATCATATCATCCTCAACCACATATATCCATCCATCAACGGACCAACAACCGCATCCATCCTCTCATCCATATCGGATAAAAACCCTCTTCACCTGAACTAAAGGGCATAGATCAATAGCGTACTTTTGGGCAAACTCAGCCATCACCCACGACAACGAAGTAGAGGAAACGAAGTAGTAATTAAGTTTTTCAAGGGCTTCATCGCCTCCTAATGAAACAGCTTGGCAGCAACCCCCCCAAACCCTCCCCCGCCAGGACATCTCTTTCGTCATCATTTCCTGGCAAAATGAGGCATACACGAATAATACCTAGACAAGACAAGCGCTCGCTTCTGCCGGCAGGCCAGTTAATAGCCATCTCGGACCCCAAGCTCAATCTCTCAAACAAGTTTAGATGGGCTGCAACTACTACCGAGGATGCTAGTCGGTCGATTACATGGATGACCTGGCATCCCTTCACACGCCGCCGCTCATGGACAAACATCAGCACCAACACGAAGTGATAGCACACGTGGTAAAAAGCCATCTGTTGCCGTGTCACCATATGCCAAGAATAGACGAAACATTCCATCGAAATCTACATTTCCTAAATCGTATATCACCAAATAGAACAAACCCGCTCTCCCTCCAACATTCTCTCCTCCGTCCGTCGACTCAAAAGGTAGCCAATACCAAAATAGCATCCCCGCTCCACTGGCCGTTGCAGTTACTCTCTCTCTCTCTATCTATTTATCTATCTATCTCTCTCTCCATCCATTTTTCTACGACCTCACCACCGGTCTTACCACCATACAGCATTGGCGCGCATTGAAACAGATTTTTGCATGATTGAAGGCGAGGCGGACAGAGTTGAGAAAAGGGGCATTCTCATAATCGTTCTCGATCCAATTAAAAGACGCTAGTCATCAAACCTACCGCAGCTTTAAATCGAAAGAGACAGAAGGGAATCGTTTTGATCGAAAGTGTGTTGAAATCGAGGGAGAGACAGAAGGGGGGGGGAAGCCACCGCTGTATTCAAGGTAGTACATACCCAACCACCACCCTCCTTGCTACACTGTAACTCACATCCCTCCGTAGCTGCTCATGCCGCCCGAAGACCAGCCGCCACCACGGGATGACGAGCCATAGTCGCCACGGGGACTAAACCGGCGGTTTGAACCGCGGCTCATTAACCTCTCTTCGGGCGATTTCTGCACTGCCCAGTCTACACGGATGATTCTCCCCATCCATTCCTGCAAGAGAAAACACCGACCATTGTGTCGTCAGATTTGTATTCTTCACAGATCCATCGACTGCCCGGACGCAAAAAACAAAAACAGGAAGAATAGATAGATAAGGAGAACATGCGTCATTCCTTACTTTTGACAGGCAACCATAAAAGAAGGCAACCAAACCCACACACACATCGAAAAAAAGTCTTCAACAACCAACATGCGCGTCACCTCCCTGGGCGATCATTCTGCATTCGTCTCACCTACCGCCTTCATCCGAATAGAACGCCGTGTCATTATCGCTACATGACAAAAAGGCAAGTACCTATTAACAATGAACGGGCATCGTTCCGAGTAAAACCGATACACGTGTAGCTATAGTTATAGCTGGAGCGAAACACATGGCAATCACGTTTCCGGCGGTGTGTCCAGTGTGTTCACCCGAAGACAACCGCCGGTCATTTCTCTAGCTGTATCAGAGGCAGCTTTCGAGCCGAAACAACGGTAAGAATTACCCAACATTGTATTCGAGTGAACAGTGTTCAACCCTTCCTCCACATTCTTTGCAGGTGAAGAGTACTTCCCTTTTCGGCGGATAAACCCTACAGGTCTTATAATATCCAAATCGGTATATCATGGATCTTTCTTTCCGTTTTGGCGGGAAAGGTGAAGAGTATTTTTCGTTTCGGGGCATAAACATTACCCGTCTCATAATATCCGAATCGCTGTATCATGGATCTTCCTTTGCGTTTCGGCGGTAAAACTCAAAAAAACGCTGAATCGATCATCTCGGTTTTGGCGGGAAATTTTACAAGAGCGTTGAAACAATCGTCTCGAATTTGGCGGGAAAAGTTGAACGAGTTTTCTTCTTGACAACCTGAGAATCTGTTAACGCCAGCAGAGAAGTTTTTCATTGCATACAAAAGACAGTCGTCTTCAACATTCAGTCCAAAGCCGACTCACTCAACTCGTTCAAGGCCGCCCTTAGGGTAACGCTGACAATCCGTTTAAGGCCGTTAATCGTCAATAGACATCAAACAAATTTCGCCCGATATCATATAGGCAAAAATAACTAAGCAAGCGTCCCGTGCTATAGGCCATAACACACTATCGCAAACACCCTGACTCGCATCAGAAAGGTGGTAAATTTGTCATTCTCCAACACTTAGGTATATACAGGTTCTTCTCCTTTTTGCCAATAACGCTTCCTGATTTTTGTCAATAACGTTTACCATCGTTTATCATCGTTTGTGCCATTCGTACTCCTCACCTTGCCATTAAGAGATCGATCGAGAGCCAACAGCCGACCGAGCCACGGAACATGACCGTCGACGCACGAGTCGGAATGAACTTCGCACTAACTAATCGTGTAGCTCGCTCAATTCACCGAAAGTGAAATTGACAAATGCATATTCCCTAAATACCTCGGAAGATACGTGGAGTTGGTTATTTTTTCGGGTGTTTTAAGAGTTGAGCAAGGCACGAAGAACACGCGAAATTGGAAACATACCAAATCTTCATCGTTTCGTCCAACTCTCCCTTCAATTTCCTTTCCTTCTCTCATTTCGTTTGCGCTTCATTTTTATTCCCGATGTGTCTTTTTCTTGCTTTGTCGTGCTACCTCCTTTATCCTTCCCGCGGACGTTAAGATGCAGACGAAAACGACGTCATCTCAAAGTAATCATGCACAATCATGCTTAAAAATAACGGTCCAGGTCACAAGTTGAAGTCGTTGAAAGCGGCATGCGGCAGGTGGCAGGTGGCCAGTGCTAGGTGCCAGGTACCAGGTGAAAACCGTGCCATTACAAAATAACAATGCACGAATACTGCTGGAGTTCATAAAAACAGAAAAACAAAAAATCAACCTCGCGGCCCCGTCCACGTCGTCTTATAGCCTCCGAGAACAACGATTCCAATCCGACAACAATAGGATTTGGACGAGTTCATACGAGATCCGGTCGACAAGACCGAACGAAATAAAAACACAAATGTTGGATCACCGATAATAAATCCACCAGTACTTCCTAGAGTCACGCCCGTTAACGCGACACGATTTTAGGAAACGTACGGGCCACTACAGGAGCGCCCAGATTCATCCGACTTGAAACGTTCCTACTCTATTTGTTTCTGCGGCCGATAGCTGGGCCAAGTACTGATGATTTAATCCACCGTCACACCAGGGACTGGAAGCAGTGCCTGCACGCCAAGTTTCCACGAGCCGCCAGCAGCGCATTTTTTTATCTTTCGACTGACGCCGCCAGAGGGCAAAGGCAAAGGGCAAAAGTAGCACACCACACGACATACATGAGCCGCCAGGCCGTTGTGGTCCCGTTTGCCCCAGCCGCCTCATCTTCGTAGCAGGCAACGAGCAAATTTCTGCAATCCTGCGGTCGAGTACTTACTGATAGTTCAATAGATATGGATCAACGTTGATACTCAGCATTACCCTGATTCAATTCGATAATACGAAAGTTAATGGACGCAATATTCCTTTGATCGATCCCCTAATTTGATTCGACAAAACGCGAATTAATGGAAGCAATATTCCTCTCTAATCGATCTCCATGAGATAGTTCTGCGTAACTTCATGAGCAATGCCATGACATGACCGAGAGGGATGAGAGAAGCGCAAGAATGATTATCGCGCTAGGCCAGAATCGAGTTTTAAAAAAACAGTACATGGCCCCAGCCGAATTCATAACATCAAGTCTTCAAATAGTCACAATAAAGATTAATCCGTTAAGTTCTTAAAACAGCAGTACTTGGCCCCAGCCAACTACAAAAACTCGAGTTTTCAAATAATCACAATAGATCAATCCGTTAAGTTCGGATGAACACAGAATACATTACTGGACCAAAATGGCTGGCAGCGGCTGGCGGCGCCAGCCAAAAACCAAAAAAAAAAAACGCCGCTCTAACGTTTTCGGTAAAACTTGGCCCGCGACCGATTTCCAGGTCCGTGATTTTTGCCTAGAAAGTATATACCGCTAGCGGTGGTTTAAAGAGTTAATATTTAACTCGCACACATCTTTAGCATCCCCACACACCCACATAAGATTTGATCTCTCTTCGATAGAAACCGAGGTTTTCTGCGAGAAGACCGAACGCCTTGAGAGAGCAAAACGAATTTTCGCCTAGTGTTTAAGTCCTCAGGGAGAAGGCTGAAGACCGTAAAGAAAAACGAATTTTCGCGTAGTGTTCGAGTCTTCAAGGCGAAGGCTGAACACCGTATGTTGAGCTCGGAATCCCCACGAATCTCTTCACCGGGGAAGATCAGATAACAAGAACGAATAAAAACACGAACAACGGCGATCACGAAGGGCCTGAACCGAATTTCCTGTGAGGACCACTCAATCAACCTAGTGCAGGCGACAATTCTGTGCGGAGACCGAACGACCTGGACCGAATTTTCACTTAGTGGAATTAAGTTAGGGAGAAGACTGAGGACCGTATGTTGAGAATGCAATCCCCTCGAATCTCTTCAACGAGAAGATCAGACAATAAGAGACGATAAAACGAAGGACTGCGATCAATAGCGCTCCAGCACTGAATCAAAACCAAGTGCTGAGGCGACTAAGCGAAGAAAATGAGGCGAGTTGGCACACAGCGATCCAGAACCCCGCCCGAAGTCCAATTACCAATCAAGGAAGTAGATCAGGTAATTTACTAACGGTCAAGAACCTCGCGTAAGCTCATAACCGAACAATGGAACAGAAAGGGTACCGACGATGGTATGTCCAGAAGTAGATCAGAGTCCTTGGCAAACAAATGCACGGATACATCAATCGTTGGCACTCTCTCGAAGGACAACTCAGAAATCGCAAAGCTAATTAGTCTGCAAGCATGCTTACACGAATTTTTCTGAATGTATTTGATCAGAATTTGCACCCTGACCCATGTATCTGACCGGAATTGTGTCCACAGCTCTCTCTACAAAGTCTAAGTATGAGTATGCTCTAATTTCCATGCTGGCTACCGAGTTTGGCCACCTGATTCAGACAATTGGAGCGACCGCGACCGCACAGAGCACCAGCATCACGCAAAGTGGACGATACATCGATTACTAATCGAGAGTAAATTACAAGCCCCGACCCAAATAACATCTTCGGCTATACTGAAAAAAGAGGAAAAAAAATCAACAGGAAGAATTAAACACCAGAATGCAAGAAACGTACTCTAAAATAAACGACAGATGAAAAAAACGGGTTGAGGTACTTCACCTGGTTGTTCATGCCATCCCTGGCCTTCGACGCATCTTCTTCTGTCTCGAAGCTGACGAACCCGTAACCCCTCGACCTACCAGTCACTCTGTCAACAATGACCTTCGCTGCAAAGAGAAGAGTGTCACAAATGAAAGGGAGTGAGTTTTCAAGCATTTAACAAATTACAACAATGACCTTGGCTGCAAAGAGAGAAGAGTGTCACAAATGAAAGGGAGTGAGCTTTCACGCATTTAACAAATTACAGGCCTGTGTTGTATAAAGACGGCAACAAAATACCGTTGTAGCAAAAGACACGAGAATAGGACAAATCGGAGTAACATTAACGACTACCGTCTTCCCCCGAACACAACGCACCCTCATTTTGGCTGCAATTGGCCGGACATATAGCTTGTGTACGTTCTATTTTAGGGTGCGTTATGTTCGGGGGAAGACGGTAGTAGGAGTGGGGCAACATGAACGACTAAGAGAATACAGCGAGTGACAAAGAAACAGGTCTCACATTGCGCAATAATAGGTAATTCCACGTAGAGGACTCGATCACGACGCATGCAGGCCACAACTCGCACGCCCCCATGCCTCAATTTCCTCGCAGGTACACGAAACTTCCATCCGTTGTTACCACGGTTATTTCAGTTACTATAAAAAACATCTTCTACTGATCCTTTGTAGGGTTAAGGACCCCACGCACAAAGAAAGGGGTTAGCAATGGGTGGGAGAGGGAAAAAGAGAGAAACGGCACCCGTATCCTTAAGAAGATTACGCATCGACGCACCTCTCTCTCTCAAAAAAAGAATCAAAATAGGCAGGTTCGACTTTCCCCAGACTTAGCTGCAGATACACTCGCCATATAATGGATTTGGTCACTCGTCCCTCGGAAGTTCATTACCAGGCATAATACCGATGAAACAAAAATTCAATTCATTTCAATCCAGTCAAAACATACAAGTGAATACACAAATGTAGTTCCCAAATCCAGCGCCGGAGATTCGATGCAGCGACCTACCTTCCGTCACGGATCCGTACTCGGCGAACGCATTCCTCAAGGTGTTGTCGTCAGCTGCCCACGCCAATCCTGTTCCCACAAAACGATTTCAAAACCCGAACAATTCCGGTTCAGCACACACCTTACTCATATTTCACAAGCTGATACTAAAAAACCCTAATTTCCATCCGAGTTCACGAGTCAATTTCCTTCCACTCGACGACACACTGGAACTATACTGAAGGTCTCGAGCAGCAAATTCAATCAGATCCACCGCAAAACCACCCACCACCTGATTTCTCCCTCCCATCCATTTCGCTCATCCATTACCCCCCCCTCCCTTGCAGACTCCGAAACGCATAGACTTCTATAGACACAATCATGCACGCAAACGTCGCAAAGGAAGCAATCAATCCGGAAAAAACACAACACACGTCTCGCAAATCTTTACGTTGCACAATTTCTTCCAACCCTGAGGAAAAAACAAAAAGAGAATCGAAGGATAATGAGAGCAACGCCTATACGCTTCGAAGACAAACACGCTGCTCCATCGTGTGCCCACCCAACCACCATACGCATCAAAAAAAAAAAAGCAAAGAAGCCATAGCACAACAAGAGCCGGCGGGTGCCGACGCTGCTTACCTCCAACAAACAGTTTCGACGTCGGCTGCGAATCTGCCTGCTGCTCATCTGTCGTAAAGAGCCTATTATGCGTCGTCGCTGACACACAAGCACGTGCTCCTGCTTCGCGCAGAAGACAGGATCTCGCGGCACAGACGCGCAAGGCGCCGCCGAGTTTCTGGAAAAGCATCATCTTCCCCTGTAGTACTAACTGCTTCCTCGAAAAGAGACGTTAGCGGGAGACGAGCGCAGCGATGGACTCTCTCTCGCCTCTTCTCACTACGATCGACTGAACCCTTCACGAGTAGCGTGCAAGCTGCGGGGACGGCGGACGGCGGGCGGCGTTTTCTCTGCTAAGTGAACAGCCCTTCGCCGCGTCCCACCTCTCTCGACCGCTGCCTTGTTCTCTTCCTCCCGTAAGGCCGCTGTGCTGGATAGCGACAAAGGAGGAGATGAGGATAACTCCTGGCCAAGACCCGGCGGCTGCAACAACGTACCTTGGGCACAGAGAACCGAAGAACCGTCCACCCTCGAAGGCGTGTTTTGTTACTACAATCGAGCCCGCCGTAAAACCATGCCTATGTCGGAACCTCTTATTTTGAACCCGTGAACCCTCCCAGTTTTTTTCTCCGAGGCGAGCCACCTGACCTGTTCGGCAAAAGTGGGTGACCGTCCACCGGCGGCGCACAGCTGCGGGGAGACCGGGGGGTTGCTCTCGTGAAATCCAGGTCCATCCATCCGGCCCGGGTTGGTTTATACTCTACCCATCACCCTAAACCAACTTCTCCACCCTCCGAAATGTCAGCAGCCTGCCCAGCTCCACAAGGGATTATTCTGCAGGCACCCCTAGGGATGTGGCATGGTTCCAGTCATTCATCTTTCATTATGGCATGGTTCCAGTCATTCAGCTTTCATTATACCTTCTCCACCAAGCGGGGGATAATAGTGCCTTTGTGCCTACCCACCATGATTGGCAAACAGCCCGCCCACCCTGCTGCGGCCTTTTCGTGAAAAGGTATGGAGCTCTCCGCAAAAACTGTGTTTGTAGAGAGTATCAAATGTCATTTACTGGTGGGAGTCTAGATAGTGGCCTTTTAGTGGAAGTACATCACTTCCCATGTTGGTTTCCATCCCGATCTCCCTGCAATATGAGCAAAACAACAGAGAGTTTGCATAGTGGTGAATTAGTGGAAGTATACCACTTGCTATACTGGTTTTCATCCCAATCTCCCTGCAAAGCCCTCGTTGTACTGTTTCCTGATATTATAAAATGTAACAACCCTTTTGGAGTGGCCTGTTGACATATGTTTACAAAAGGAGCCATTGGTGGTATATACGCAGGTATTTGCTGGCCAAAGATGGAAGATCGTTGATAAACTTTTAAAGCATGATTTTCGTTATCGTCTCATCCCTCGTTTCCCCATCATGGAAACAAATTTGCGGTTTGCATACTGACGCATCTTTCGAGGGTCGCCCTTTGGGGCAAAATAGTTGGTGATGCCACCCAAAAAGAGTCTGGCGCCCGTTCGTTTTTTTTCGTGCCATCGCATTTACAACCCCAGAGGAAAAATGTTTCGGAAGTACAGGTGGTTCAAGAAACAAAGTTATCTAAGATAAGTAACGACTTAACTTACTCCATTGTAACTTTTAGGAAACCCTAATTGTTTTGTGTTTCGGAAACGAAAGAGTGAAAATGAAACCAATAAGAACGTTACAAAGATTATGAAGAATTTTTTAGTACAATGAATATAGGATCCAAAGCGTTTAAAGGTAAAACGGTTTCACCTCTTTATTTTTTATAATATAAAAATATTTGTCACAATCTTTTTAGACTTTTGTGATGACATATAGCTAAAAGATAATGCATGTAGAATTGTTCAACTCATATTATTACGAATTTCAGTGTGAGTGAGAGAAAAATTTATTTTTATATCATTGTTTTGTTGTTAATATCAAAGTATGCTCGTTATTATGTTGAAGTGATTTAACTTGAAGTTATTTTATGAGTCAGTGTGTTAGTCATGTCACTTGTATCATTTTCACATAAGATGTATACCGACGTATGTTTTTGTTTCCTCTTTTAATTTATCTATAATTAATATTATTTATTATTTGCGGAAAATCCAATGAATATGAGAACTTAAATTTCATAAATTTTTAATTTTAGGGATGTTTAACTTCGATCGATTGTTGGGGTAAAGGTGATGTGGTTTTTATTTTAATAATTTATTAATGACTTCGACTCGTCTCACTTTGTAGGTTGTTATGCTATAATATTATCGATTCGGATGGTTAGTTGAAGTGAAAACACACAATTTCTTACGTATGTTTATGAAACATTCGAAACACATTAATGAAACGATTTTCAGTATAGAGATATGTTTTCCCGTTGATTTTCAATAAGTTTCAAGTAACCTTTGAAGTTTAGAGTGACGATCCACAATGTTGGTGAGCAGTATGTTACTTGTATATGAGAGATAATTCGATCACCTTGTATTATGTTACTATCATTTGAATTAATTTGCTTTGATATATTTCAAGAAATTTGCAATTTTTTAAAGTTTTTTTTTTATCAAAACTTAACCATGTAGTAGAATGACTCATCCTTGAACCTTATATTTAACTATCTTTTCAATACCGATCATATCAATCGTCAACTGGGTTATATAACAGATCGTTATTGAGTATTTGTTTTTCTATCCTATTAACTAACTCTATCATTAATCGAATAGTATTTAGTAGTACAACGATGCGCCCTTAAACCTCTATTACACTGCTTTTTAATATCAGTTGAATAAATTGTCCGTCGAATAGTATAATTATTTTTCTTTGAGTCTTTTATTTTATTACTTTTTCAATACCAATAAAATCAATTATTAATCCATAAAGTAGTAAAACGATTTATCCTTCAGTCTTTATTTTACCACTTTTTCAATATTGATCGTATCTTTATCAATCGAGTAGTATAATGATGCATTTTTCATTTGCATTTATTTTTCATAAAGAAAAGACACTATGCAAAATACAAAGGTAGTCCATTATATGAAAGATGGAGCGAAAAAACTGTTAAGTAAAGAGAAAGGGAAGGAAAGGCGAAGATAAATATTGGAGCATCTTCAAATATAAGTGTCAATTTTTTATAAATTGAAAATGCTTAAAGTATGAGATGTACATTATTAATATAAATAATCTCATGTGAAACATAGCCCCTCTAAAAATAACATGACAAGATATGATACAACAACACCAGTGAAATGAAGAAATTAATGATCTATGATCGATTCAAGTTAGCAAAAAATGTGTATCAAAGTTTTCGCACTAGATCAGACGCAACACTCACACTGTTTATAATGCATAAAACTTACAACTGTAAAACAACAAATATAACACGAGGGTCGTGTGGTTGACCCTGTCGAGCGCATCGGTCCCACACCGCACAAAACGGGGCGGGACCCTCCAGGCCGCGTCACGCAGGAATTGGTCTGGTCCTCATCGAGAATACACATGGAGCTTCCGCAAGCCGCTCTGGCTGAGTGCGCCAGCCATACCTCTCACGAGCCCCTACGACAAGATAGGGCCTACGCGAGGCATAACTTACCTCCACCTTGCGGGAGCTGTCACCTCCCTTCGGTGGGCGTATCCCCGCCGAGGTACCATCCCACAGTACGAAAGTTAATCAGCTGCAATCACAGAGGTGGACCAGCCGAAGGCGTTTCTCGTTAACTGTAGCATAAGGGGTACGTGTGGTTTTTACGCCTTTATCGGACCTGCATGTGAACCGACACCTTGGGGGGTTGAGGTCCCAAGCGCGACTCGTCGCTGGTCCATTAGGACGTGTCCCACATACCACACGTACACCACTCTAAAGAACATAAAAATGAAAACACATATACAGAACGATACAGAACAAAAAACAACATAACACTCCTAGTCATTGAGTAACCATCCCATAACTCTTTGATGCGGAAATCGGATAGGCGATGCGCTCGAGACTTAGTATAAAACCGCACGGACGCAGGGCTAGTTCATATTGACTAGCAATGCATGAATAAGCAAGCAGTCGTGATGGTGACGTACTATGTAGTGTTCATAATCAAGCGGTCCCTCGTAGATCCGAGTACCGTATATGACACTCAAGTGTCAAACTTGAAGTATCGTGAGAGTCCACCACTTTACGATATTGCACGGCTGAAGAAATAGCCGTGCGGCCTCCGCGGCACCTCCGACCTTGAAGCTAAGTGCCCCAGTAGGCAGGGTAAATAGGCTATACGCGAGGTGCGATTCCAGGCAAAGTCTAGGACATGGGACGTCCTGGGCTAGGACCTCGAATCCGGGCCCAGGACCAACGTCCGACTAAAAAATCTTTAAACAACATACAAAAATAATAGAGGGGGGGTTCCCTTCTTTCCCAATCTTAATCTCAATTGAACTCTTAAGCGTAGGCCCTTCGGGTCACGCGGACACCCAACATACGTAAATACATGTATATATGTAAAAGGGGAATAAGTATGTGACGATCACTTCTCACAATTCAAGTGGGACACCTCACAGCCATATATATGTGTGTGATCGCATGCAATCAAATCCAAAAATTTGAACCACAGAGTATACCCGCAGTCACATCAAAGAGTCAACCAAAAGTCCACACACTACACGAAATCAACTTCAACCAATTTTTATACTCATACCCATCGCTTTAGTCATGCAAGCCCCAACCTTTGCTCAACCTTCCATAATAAATACTTAGTATCTTTGTTAAATGACTATTCAATAAAAGTCTGGGTGAAACCCTTAATAAAACAATAAAAATCACCAAGGCTAAAACCTTTTTACGTTGAGTATTTGAGGATGAATTGGATTTGAGTCGTAGACCGACGAATCGGCAACCGACTTGTTATCAGTGATAACATAAGGTGATTCTTGTAGGATCAAGCTGAATCTAATCCCGATTCTGAATCAAACGTTTAAGAGGACCTGTAACAAAAGACAAGCCTAACCCCAACCTAAATCTGAGTCTACCAATAAGTCTGAGTCAAAATCGAAAGTAATCCCATAAGCTGAATCAAACTCAATCTATGAGTCCAAATCGAAAGTAATCTCCATATCACAATTTCATCAATAATCATTTTACTTAACTAAGTCCGAGTCTACCTCTAAGTCAGTGCATAATAAAAACGTAAACCTTTGACAGAATCTCCTCTATACAGAGTAGATTGTCAGAATTGTCACCTGTCAAAATATAATCTAACTCCTTTGAACTAAGAGAATTTCGGTAACGTTTCCCGTAGAAAAAGTGTCTTTCAAGAATTTATAACAACTCAAATATGAAAACAAAGTCCAAACTATAATTCTGAAAAGTTAAATTTTATCTAACTCCCTGAATTAGTAAAAATTTGTGCAGCACCTCCTTTAGAAAGATAAACTTCACATATTTATACTAAGTCAGATAAAAACTCAGAAGTCAGACTTGAGTTCGACTTCAAGACAAAGTTCAACTAACCCCTTAGATTTGTAGAAATTTTGGCAGCGCTTCCCGTAGAGAAAGTGTTATTCCAAAA